TCATACAATATCTGGAAGGGATCCTACAATCCCACAGCGAAGCAGAATCTCGATTGATCAAGTATCATGTTGAGATTTTCATTGAGTCTGAGCAACACAAGCTGGAAGACTGTGCTTTCCAGATCGAGGAACTCCTGAAACGTCATAAGATCTCTATCAATGACACGAGTAGCATCTTCAAGGAAACATCCGCAGCGGGTCGCAAAAGAAGGGACTTGAAGAGTATCGAGGAGCATTGGGGCCGGATACTCATTAATCATTACCAATGGGACAAGGAGAGTGGTCGTTTTCTTGGGGCTCTCGCGAAGATTGCTTCTCAGCTCACCGTATGGAGGACGGACGCCGCCCCTCTTTTTAGTCGTGTGATATTCAACGATATGAACCTTGGAAATTGGGGGAAAGTTGGTATGTGTCCCGAAAGACCTATTAAGAAGAGTCATTTGAACAAGCTGCTCAAGTATATGGATCTGGTATCGGTAAAGGAGAACCAGAAGGCGGTATCAAACTCTCCGGCGCCTCCTCTAATCCCACTCCACGAAGAGGAGGTACGTCGTCACAACATGAAGCTGGATACCCATAATCTCCTCATTGCAAACAGCGGACTGGGGTCAAATGAGCCGACAAACAGGGGATCGAGTGAAGGTTGTCCCGAGACTGTAGTCCCGCCGAACCATGGTAGCACGACTAGTGCGACCGAGACAGCGTGGCAGATCAATGATGGAGAGCGCCCAGCGGCGGACTTAACTACCGACACAGACGATTGTCCCAGAGGTTCATCCTGCGTTCCTACAACAACACCGCCAGCCATGGAGACTGTTGACATGGACAGCGTCGCTGCATCGGATACTAGTCCATCCATCACGGATAGCGGGGGTGGTGTCAGGTTTACGCCATTCGAAGGACAGCGAACCGGATTTGAACCTGAACCTGAATCTCGAGAGAATGACAAGTCTGCTTCGCAATCCAGGGACTCCTGGTATCCCAAAGAGGGCGAGAGAGGTATGCAAGATGCAGTCGTTTCAGAGGTAATAAGATTAAAGAGTGAACTGCTTTCAATCGTTGAAGAGGTAACCATAATTTACAATGGAAACTTATCAGGTACTCCAGAACAAACAAGCTGAATCTTCACAGGCCCGAGATCGCCAAGCAGACCTGTTGGCCAAGATCGCCGAAGCCTCGCGTTTACCAAATCCTAGACATGGCCCAACGATAGAGGAAATGTGCTCTTCACTCTTCGCAGAGCATAGTGCACGGACGATCAAGACCGTAAAAGAGACACTGACTGCAAGGTCCTGTAAGTGCGAGGATACGCTCACAATGCAGAAGCAAGAGGATATTTTCTCCCGTTTCTACAATCACCTATCGAGCCAGCAAGCGGAAGTTGGCAGAAAACTTGAGTCAACGATCTTCAGAATAAGGCAAGAGATATCTGATCGATCATTGTCGGATCAGAAGGAGATAGTCGAAGCGATCGAATCTCGAACACAAAGAGATCTGCAGATATCACACGACGCGACGATTAAACGTCTTGATAGAGTCGAAGAACAGTTGAGAGATCGTTTCGCCCGGGCCGGTCTCGGAATAGTTGACGAACTCAAGAGTGTCCAAAAAATGGGTATGGAAGTCACAAACAAGCTTTCGAGGAAATGGAGGGAGAACTCGGCCGAGATGGCTCAGAGTCAGATGCGGAATGTTGACAAAGTCTGTGACTCAAGATGATACCTGCTAAGTAGCGTGTGCTGACAGATATGAACAGCTCGCGTCCGATATCCTCGGCGGATTTTCGAACATGCAAAAGCATGCGATGAGGCTGGAGCAGGAAGTGCGAGATCTTCGGAGAGCCTTCGAATCACGGAAGGATGATACTCCCGAAACACAATCAAAAAGTATCTCGTCCAATATGCCGGATGAAGCTGAGAGTACAATCCAGGCGGATATCAGAGAGGGGATCTCACAAGTCTGTGGCTTAGACATTGTTTGCGATGCGACATTTACTGACTGGTTAGAAACAGATGCAGCAAACGCTGATTGAACACACGCAGATGCAACGTAGAATGGATGAGAAGACTCAGGCGTTCCAGAATCAACAAGTAATCACTCTAGCAGGAGTCAAGTCCCAGGTCGACGCCATCGTTTCGGAGCTACCGAATTCAAAGGAAGCAGTGACAAGCCTGAAGCAAGCAGCGCAGTATCTCCACGAAATCGGCGAGAAACTTGGAAAACTGAAGGATGATCCAGAGATCACGGAGATTCCGCTGGATCCACAGGATAACCGAGCCGACTTCGTAGAGAGCGATGGGCCCTGTGGCACCCGAGAGAGATTTCGGCGTGCTGTCGATGTACCGGAAGCCTTGGATGGAACTGGATATCTCACTTCCACACCAGCTCACGAAACCCAATTCCGAAACTTTGGGGAAAGTCGCAGGGACGACCTGACGTTAGACAAATTCAGTTGTTCCGGCTACTCCATACCGTCAGCGTCCTGGCCGGAGCGTGGATCCGGATCGTCGCAGACTCAGGGTGGACATGGCGTCGACGAGCTTAGACAAAGTGAAAATGAACGAAAATTGGTGCGTCAGTTGGTACCTCTGGACGACGCCACAGCCAACAGGGTCTTTCCAGACGCTCCCAGTCCCGAGAACACGCGTTCTATCATAGACTTTGGACCATCGCTCGAGGTGACACGAACCAGTAGGAGCAGACCACAGAGCAGGTATAGATTCAACCATCCGACGATTCTACGGATACAAGGAGCAAGATTTGTAAAGAGAAGACTCCCAGGAACATTCGTATCAAACAGACATCTGCATAGTGCTTGGAGAGCTGCGGATATGCAAGGAATGTGGATACCTGAGATAGTAAACTTGTGTGGTGGGAAAGATGAAAAAGACGCCATTGGTCCTGCACATGAGCAGGATACGGTCTGGAACCTGCAAATCTACGAGAGTACCTCACCGGACGAGGATAATTCCATTCCCATCAACATTCGGGGAACAGAGCCTGTGGTGGTTCACTCGGCTACGTCCCTCGATCATCACAACCAGCCCATAAGTTGTGTGTGCGAGCAGTCCTTGGCAACGACTGTAGATTATGGTTGCGGGGAACTCGTCACTTCGGACAGTCTGGGCACAGCTAAACCCAGCGACGGCGATTCGACCAGTGTAAGAGTTATTCCAGCGCCCAATCCGGCCCGGATGCAGCAGATCGTAGAGATACGAGAAAGTCTTGTTACAATCCAAGAGAGCGTTGCGGAGGTGTCTCATCATGTGCCTGTAGACAATATTCAGACGCAGAGAAGTATGTTGGAAGGAGGTTCACCACTTCAAAGCACCGACACTGCCTCAACAAGCGAACGTTTGCAGGGGCAGCAATCAGCTGCCTCAAGTGAAGTCGATCCTCTGCTGAACAGCTGGTCAGATGATACCAGCCAGACAGCACTTATGACAATTGGAGAGACGATAGTGTCGCTCGAGAATAGAGGGATCAACAGCTCAAACGCTCAACATATGGATCCTATACAATGTCGAGAAAGAGAACAGAAATGCGAAAAGAAACCCGACGAACCCTATCTAGAGAGCCGCGAGACAGGACTTAAGAAGGCTGCGAAAAGTGAGCTTTCGTTCCACACGAGTAGTATCATGTCTCAAGGCTCGTCACACTCAGAAGACCATCAAGGCACCCAGGAGACTGAGTTGACACAAAGACTGCCAACACGTTCTCACAAAAATCACGTTTCTGCGAAGGATCGCAGAAAGCGGAAGGAAGAGAAACGCAAGGGAATAGGAGAAGTACACAGGAACAAAAGGCATGATCAGTTAAAGCGAAACCGACAGGGTCCACCCCATCTTGATGCCACTAAGACACCATTATCCGGTACGCACCATGCGCATTTGGAACTCTCTCGGGACGACTCTGGCGACTGTCGTTCCAGCGATACTACCAGTGCCATAGCTCAAGGCCCTGGCGGTATGGGTGACACGGAAGCTGAGTGCCGGCACAGGAGTCAAGAATACAGCGAATTCACGGGACATGAGGAAGCGGACCATGTCATTCCACCACTCCAGTCAGGTTGGCTTCGGCGAGGGTCGAAGAGAGGTGCTCACCTTGGCAATACCGATGGACTGGTCAAAAAAACTGAACTCTTAGCCAGTGTTCCTCTCGGACTATTGGTTTCTCCAACCGATACAATGATAGCCGATAAAGATCCCACCTCTAATTCGACCACCGATGGACAGGATGGAGTGGGAACGTCGAATCATACCAAATTGAGATACAGCACGCTACAGGACTCTATCGCAGAACCAGAAAGACAGATTGAGTCTTCTGAGAACCATCTCGTCCAGTCAGATACTGCGTCTCCCGCAGCGCACTGTGGTCAGACGGTAACTAGTTTCCCTACTCAAAGGCCTGCCTCGCATCCACAAGTCTCAACGCATCGACGGAACATCGCTCAGTCTCCCTCGAAAACGTACCAGGGCTTCCAAATGAGCGCTACTGATGTCCCAACAAAAGAGAGGAGTCCGGAGCAGCCTTCATCACTACCACCAGAGAGAAGAGGTGGTGAGAAGAGGCCAAGAGAGGAGGATACTGTGGGGCATCAAGGCATCAAAATGAAAGCCCCAAGACTGACAGTGCCTCTAGAGCGCACCGGGAATGATCATAATCCGGATCTATTTTATGGTGAGGATGAGAGGATCGCGAGTGTGGCCGACATCCAGATGGCAGATTCTCCTGCTTCTGATGATCAGCCCTCCGGTCCTCGGGAAGATCATGCATCCGAACCCAACTATGATACAGACAATGCTGCGAACCTCAATGAGAGTGATGTAGAGTCCGTCAAAAGCGCTTGGCGATCTAGAGTACAAGAGCATAGGGCGGCAAAACAGATGAATCGGTACATCATCGATAATGCACGGAAGGAAGTACGTTCTGAATTACGCCATCCAGAGACCAGATTCAATGGAAGATACGAGGATGGTTCCACGTTCACTCTAAGCGATGGGGCTCCACAATATCCTAGCAGAGAAGAAATCTCCGCCTCCGCGTTTCTGCCCACTCTTACTGCACAAGAGTCCGCTTCCTTGGAGATTGCGAAGCAACCAGGTACCATGGAGCAGCTACATGATCAGGAAAACCCCAGACAGCTCTCAATGTCACCACGCACAACAAGTAGGGAAGGGCATAAGGCAGAAAACCACACTGATAGCGACAGTCGTAATCTAGAACCAGTCTCGCGAGGACAGGTCACACCTGAAAAGCTCAACGAAGAGACCGGGACCAGACCCATGCACCCTTCTCACATGAGCAATATCATAAGCCGGACTTCCATGTATAGTAGATCTGCTCAACCAAGTGAATCCGTTGGCCAAGACAGTATGATCTTGCCAACCGGTGGCGACATCGAAGAGGTAGATATCGCAGTACCGCTCCATCTGATAGAGAGAAGCCAGTCTCCTGTATCACGAGTGGGACACAATCTGCAAGTATACAACTTCACTCAACCGCAGCATTCCCTGGTCAACAGTCAGCACGATGGCAGAACATTGTCTGGTATGGATGGAGATCGTTTGAACCGTGGTACCGAGGATAATGGACTGAAACAGGTTGTGCAATCTCTCGTTGACAGTGACGATGTAGAGTTGATAAAAGAAACTCGTCTGCCCGATGCAAGGAGCGTGGGTCACGAACACATATTGGTCGCTCCTGCAAGGAATGATGGATTGAGTGGTACGACCTGTAGCCCGGCCCCCAGCAGCCCTCAGCACATAGCTAGGCCCGGCTCCATCTTGCCAGATGCATCGATAAAATCTTCTACGGTCCTTGCAGATGGTAAAACTTGCGCAGCAGATAACCACCAACAGAAAGCGCTCGACGTGGCGCCCTCCTCAACACGTCAGAGCAACTTTTCAATTGACCCTATTGAATCTGGAGAACAGGCTGAGCTGGGAAGTGTGCCTGATTCAGAGAGTCACGTTGAGTTTGCAAGCATCGATCCTTTCTGTCAGACTGGATCAGAGGTGGAACTCTGATTTGCTAAGCTTGGGTTCGTGCAAGAATCGACATCATTGTTTTTGGAGTCGAACAATATCGCTGACCATCACTATCACCATACCTTTCTGTAAAATCCTAAAGCATATATTCCTCCCTTGTGCCTCTCCCTAACAATCGTTTGCGAGACTTCTGAGATCAATATTCTTGCATCCTCGATACAGCATGTCAGGTCTTGCGAGGACTCCTCGGTCCACTTAGATGGTTCGTCTTCTTCGGAACCCTCTGTTATGTACTTTTTCGCTTCATATATGTAATAATGCAGTTTGACTGCTGCCTTCTGAACCTCGAGTCCTTGCCTCGGAATCGCTTCCATCATTTCCAGACGCTCTTTTGCCGCATTTATCAGGCGACTGAAGTCAAAGCCTGCAACACATGGATTCGGTCTCTTTTTGATGTGACGCACTATCGACTTCAAAATCCGGACTGCCCCTCTCATCTTCTCTTGTGCTCTGCAGACATTGAGGCTGTCGTCTCTCGAACGAGGATCTCGCACTATGCACGTGAGCAACAGGCGAGCGCCCCTTATCTTCTCTGGTACTCTCCAGACATGAGGACTCTCGCCCATAAACGAGTCCTCCTGGTGGTTCCTAGGTGAAGGTGAAATTTTCCACCATTTGTGAAAATAAAGGTTACTGCGAGACAGTAGATATATATCCATGTAGAAGGTTGTCGATATCACATAAAGCATTACGATCATCCTCTGTGAATCGACATCGGCTGACTCATCCCTTTACGCCCACTAGAACTATGGCATCAGAGAGTATGGCAATTGGGAATATCTCACACATTCAACATGCAACTGTGATTAGGTATTTGGGATGCGAAGAAAGACCCCAGTATATACATCAAGGGCGGTCGAGACACTGCGAGCATGAGTGCAGGAGCAGTTGGGAAAGGATATGTTATGATATGAGTTTCGAAAATGTAACACATGTTGATTAAAGTTCAGTATATGTGTGTGTGATGACTATAGATCCAACCAGAACAAGGATCAGATCATGTACTAGGTGATCGATCCGGAGATTCATAGCGATCGCTCAACCTCTCTTGCGTTTACGTCCATTGCGAAGAACTACTGGCAGATAGTCGGCTTGGGCTTCTCGTAGCTGCGCGATCGTGAAAGGAGATCCGCTGATTTGCTGCGTCCAAGACGGATGCACGAGCTCGACCTTGAACTGTGTGTCCCTACTGGAGCTCCATAGCTTGACTTCCGTCGAGATAGAAGTGTCAAACATCAAGTCTTTGACCCTGAATTTTACTTCGGGATATCCTTGTTTGAATGCTGTGAATTCATCTTTGGTCAAACGTGTTTTGATCACGCCGGTCTGCTGGTTTTGATCTGCCGCCTCCCTTCTTACCATCTTATGACCTAGCTCGAAATAAAAGAGTGAAGCGATGAGTCGCCTGGCTGCTGCTTTGCACTCGCCAGAGAACATCCTTGCTGCACTAGAACCTGAGATCAGCATCGATTGGACAGCGTCGTCGAGTGAAGATATTGACGACTGTTCGTCTAACGACACCTCCTCCATGTCTAATCTTGGATTTAGTCGCACCAGGCTTCCGGACCTCTCCGACGTCAGCATTGCTACCATTTCGTGCTGTCTTTCCGCGTCTAAAGTCTCTTCGAACACCTTGATGTATCGTCGAAATACTGACATTTTACTTAGAGGTGCTGTGAAGAGACGTCCGCAACCTACTGATACGATTAAAGAGTCAGCATTGCGGGATGACGCCAGCACGTTGGCCTCGCTGATCGCAATGGCAGATGGATTATTGTGGCTCAGTCCGCCATCTTGGTATGCGCTACCAAGCAGTGTGATGGTATCCCAGAACCTGTCATAACCAAGTTAATAAGATCAACGATGATGGTCTAGCCATGGAGAAATCGTTATGCGTACCCTGGTGCGGCCGATGTCGCGCGAGCTCTAGACATGTCGATGAGTACAGAATTGATGAAGAACGCGCCCAACGTGAACTTACACTTCCCATATCTTGAGCGACCGGTAAAGACTATCCATCGCTGGCCACATGTAAGCTCCATTCTTACTGTGACGCGACTTGTTATAGTTGGCAAACACCGTTGGTCCGGAGGTGGATGCTTGATTGACAACGACAGCAACTCTGGTTGGGTGTTCCAGATCACTTTGTATCATGAGTGAGGTTTCGCCAAAGCTTTCCTGAAGAATCGTCTCAATCGGAGCCGAATCGTATATGCTATCGAAAAATATGAGTTTGGCTACGTTAGATAGTATAGCAAACCAGCCACCAGTGAAACGAGACAGCAGTCTGCCGAAGCAGCTTTTCGGGGCGAAGATTTGCTCGGTGAACTTGAGAAACTTCATTCTGCACTCCTCTAGCGACCATTTCCTAGTCCCAAGACCTAACGCACATATACCACCTGATAGTCGTCAGACAGACATTTTGTGGACGTTAACGGAGGACATGTTCTCCTTACCTATACTGCTGCCAACCATGAGGTCGAAAAAGGTAGATATGTGCACGGTGTCGCGTAGCCCGATCTCGTCACAAAGGTATTGGAGAACCTGCAGTTGTACCAAGCCTTTGACGCCGCCACCGTCGAGGGCCAGGACGCGCAATGTTGCAGTCGGTGGGATAAATTTTCGGATGCATCTAGATCCGACGCTCAGCTCACAAACGGGACACTCGTTCACGATTATACGGCATCCATCCGTTTCCTTGCCGTCGCAAGCCCGCAAGCACAAGGTACAGAGCCCGTGTTTGCACGGTAGTGTGTGCGTCCAAGGCTCCAGTAGACAAGCCGAGCAATTACCTCCGTATCGCAATCTGGCAAGGTACTCGCGGTGTTGATGGAGGTTCTTGACATGGAGTTGTGCCGATTCGAGAACACTTTCACATGTTCGGTATGCGGTCTTTGTTTGTTCCAGCCAACACCTCTTGATCATATCTACGACGGTCTCTGGAGAGTAATGCTTACTTGGTGCTGCAGAGATAGATCGGTTGAGTTCTTTGAGAAGATCATGCGCGACCGTCTCTGCGATGGACTGATATCGCAGCCTGAACTGATTTTCTGCGAACTTGTTTGAAAAGGAAGAATCACCAGGCACAGTCCAGTGCCGAGATCGGAACGAATGTCGCGTCAAGTAGCTACCAACGAGAGCAGCCCTGTGGGTCAGTATCGCCTCAAAGTCTTGGCTGCTGCTTCGCATGATGTCATTGCTGGCGCTTGATAGCACTTTTGGGAGCGAAAACCTGCCCAAGGGCCACGGCTCGGTCAGCAAAGCAACATCATCAGGTATAGACCGGCTCGCTTCCCAGGCCGATGCCAGACGGCAAAAGTCAGAAGAATTCCACAGGCTACCGTGACTTGATCTAAGCCGTCTCACACTTTTGTGGCTATCGCGAATATGTTTCCATGCGATGTTTTTCACGGCCATATTCGGTAGGTCGTATGTGTTCCACATGACAGGCTTGACTTGCTTTATCTGTATGTTTTCGAAGAAACCAGTCTCCAATTCTCCAGACGTAAGGGTACCAGCTTCCTGTCGAGTTGCGCATTCTCCTATAAAGTTCTCAACACTTGATGATGACTTCTGGATGACTATCCTCGCAGCGGGCTTGAACAGCCGAGTCTTTTGAGGTGGCAGGCAACATGCCAACCACGCTAGAAACATTTCGCTCGCTGAGGACAGATCTGTCGCCAGGAAGATCACTGCATCACTGAACAGGTGAGCACATTGTACCAAACGTGACTGGGCCATCGAAGGAATCTGTGGCTGCGAAAGTGTTTCGCCCAGATGTACTGTCCACCCATTTTTCGTCCAGATTGCTGCGTTGAACTCCACTGGGTATGCTTCCTCGATTTTCGGAGACTGTAAAGCGGTTGAAGGAGCACTCCATGCACTGTCCCTTACCAAAGTGATTATTGACCGCCTTTCTCCTCGTCCGATCATCCACTTGTCCTCCATGGCGGTTTGCGCTTTAGTGGAAGATCTAGAGTATGTAGAAGCATGTATGGCAACATATATACCACTGATGGATTGCGACAGTTTCTGGACATGATATTATGTGATTGTGACAAGTCAGAGCTTCCCAAGGTGAAGATGAGCAGAACAATGTTAGAGTTGCGATCTGCCCATTTACCGGCACCCGTCCATCCGTTTGCTACACCATGGCATCTCGAAGTATGTTGCATAATCTGTGGCTTAAAGATAAGATCTCTTCACAGCCATCCAGGCCTATGGTACGATTTGATCTCATTGCATGAAAGACTCTACAGATATGCCATCAATATTCTATTTAGCAAATGCAGAACGCTGACTGTTGTATCAGCTCGTGAGAGGACCACGTGACGGGCCTTTTCTCGGCGCAAGAACGAAATATCACGCGGGCTGTTCACCATGAATTGTCACTCTCATCGGCATTCGTGACGGTTACACTCGCAGCATCACGCCAGGCTTCGTGGATAAGTGGAGCACAGTGTGAGAAAGGTTCCTTGCCTGTTCGCTAAAATTATTGTGATGCTCTTGCTCATTGGGAAGATACTGACATGCGAGACTCAAAATTTGTCTCGAGCCTGCGCGACATGCACGAATACTGCATTCTGACTGATAAGTCAGGTTTTGTTCTGTTTTCGTTCCGCGTGTCGCATGGATTCGTACCACAGCTCTGATGGTCAGTGCGAACTTCTCTAATTCCTCTTTCCACTATCTCGTTCCGTCGGTTCCTCTCTAAGAATCCTTGTTGATTTGACAGGAGCTCACCTCGAGCTCGCGGAACTATGATCCTTGCAGCACAATTGTATGCAGAGAGCATGGTGTGTCGAGTGGCCGGCACGTAGGCGGTGGTTTGCGGCGGAACCATCTCCGCCGTAGCCTACCGGTAGCCTAACGTCGGAATAAAAGCTGGTGAGCGCTGACAAGCTTTCCTCGATCAATGGCCTGGTAAATCATGCATCGATCAATGAGTAAACGAGGTTATGAGCACACCTTACCGGACAACACTCAGATGCAGTGTGTGTGGAAGTGCATCAAGGTCGATGCATATCGCGTGGCTCAACATCACATCACAGAGGTATGATATGCGCAAGGAAGACCGGCGCGAATTTGCTTATGAGCCGTAATTTACTCTAAGCCCGAATGGGAAGCAGACGGTAAAGATACCCTCGTTACACTTGGAGATCCCACTCATAGCATTCCATTACTAGGGTGCATCTTGTCAGCAAGCGCGCTGTCACTTTGCTAGCAGTTTGATTCAGATGTCTGTAATTGTGTGCCATGTCAGGAAAGATCCAGTCGCAGCGCCAGAGCGCGGAAGTCAAGATCGCACAGTCAGCGCATCGTTGTCTCGACCTCGGCACGTCTGGCTCAACACAGTATAGTACGATGAATGCTTCCGGTCAGGCTTTGTGTGCATGTTCGATAGAGATGCTATGATCTCCGACGTCTTTAGTTCATGGAGACCCAAAACATAAGATTTGCACGCCTGTACGGCTTGTCCAGCTCTTCTTCTACACTAGATTGCTTGGGTCACACATGTGTAGCCTGATCTTTCGTCCTCCAATCGTCCAGGGCCGCAGGATTAGTCCATCACTGCTCGACGTCAACCGTGCAAGATACGGTGATTGAGCCCTCTTGAGGATGACTCTACACGTTCAACGCCGTATCTCGGTTGCTGTCTGCCTCTGCTGCTTCGCAGTCTTTCTGTATCTGGCATTTTTCTTCCTTCGTGGCGACTATGCAGATATTTCCCCGCTAGCGACCTCCCTTCGAGGCAAGGGCTGGAACGTGTCCACGGTGAAGGACTCTGATATGCCTCCCTCCAGATGTTTAGT